GTATTTCACTATAAACTGTGCAGGAATCAGCAACGGTACCAGATTACAGAGGTCACTGCTGTGTTTCTTAACACTGTCCAAGTTATTCAAGATGGGAAAGTATAGTGATGTTCCAGACGTACACACTAACCTGGGACATTCTGATATTGCAATCAGTTCTCATCAATATCAGTGACATCCAAATAATGAGCATGCACAGGACGCTGTTCAGCCCACAGTATCCACATTAGCCCTTTCAAAGAGCTCCAGTTGGACCGAGTCCCCTACCCTTTCCCCAAAGTCCTGCAGGTATTTCACATCAAACAGTTCCTCCAGCTCTCTTTTGAAAGTTATGCCTCAATCTGCTTCCACCATCCTCAAGCAGTTCGTCCTAGTTCACAACTAACTCACTGGATCATTCCTCTTTCATGTTACCTCTGGTTTCTTCGGCAATCAGTTTACACGGTGTTTCTTTGGTTACCATTCTTCCACTACTGGAAACAGTTTCTCAATTCCTCTGTCAAAAGTTCTGGCCGATTTCCCTTCATCAAACCTGCTTCAAGGAGAGAAATCCCAGCCTCTCCAGTCTCTCCACCTTAACAAGCCTCCTTATTCCTGGTTTCAGCCTCTTATGTATTTGCTAAAAGGTGCTGTGCCCAGACTTGCTCTCAATATTCTAGCTGGGCACGAACCAATGAACGGTCAAATCTTTCACACAGGCTGCCCTGTTGTTTTCTCCTTCACAAAGCCATTCAAAGCCAAGGATTCCACAGCCTCCTTATAACAACAACATGCATTGCAGATAATAAGGTGTAGAGCTGGATGAACACAGCAGGCCAAGCAGCATCAGAGGAGCAGGGAAGCTGACGTTTTGGGTCTAGACCCTTTGTCAGAAACGCAAACATGCATTGCACCCTTCAAAGATTAGTGCTCATTCACTCAAGGACCTCTCAATTCCCCTTTCATTTCTATGGCTTTCTCCATTTTCCCCAGCTCAAAGTGAACGCACTCCTACTTCGCTGCATCACAATTTAATCTGCCACATGCCTGCACAGTTCCTAGTCTGTTTGTGCCCCCTGGTGTCTCTTCCTCTCCCCCCTGTTCGTAATAGTCCAAAACTTGGAAAAGTGACTAAGTTTACAATTCTGTTCACAAATCCTGGCCATTACTGTAGTGCAACACTGACCCCTGGAGGGCACCAGAGCACACTCCATGCAGAAATTAGCCATTCTCCTCCAGTCTGCCCCAAACCCATTCTCTAATAACAAAGCCATTGACTCTTTAACCCAATGGGCTTCAATGTTGCAAACTGTGTGGTGCTGCACCTTATCAAATGCCTTTTGTGTAGCGATGCTCACCAGTCATTCTATCCTCATCTAACTGCTGGGATTTCAATCAGGTTAATCAAACCAGATCAAAGTTTATCAGGACATTGAGACAACAAGGTGCAGGGCTGGATGAACACAGCAGGCCAAGCAGCATCATAGGAGCAGAGAGGCTGACGTTTCGGGCCTCGACCCTTCATCAGGACATTGCCTGGAATGGGGGATTTTAGCTATGAAGCAAGGTTGGATAGACTGGATTTACTTTCACTGGAACGCAGGAGTTTAAGGGGTGACCTGGCAGAAGTTTAAAAGATTGTGAATGGCATGGATAGAGTGGAAAGTTTGAGGCTTTTACCTAGGGTGGAGGGGTCAGTTACTAGGGGACACAGGTTCAAAGTGTGGGGGGAGGGGGTGAGGCGTTTGACAGATATGTGAGACAAGTTTTTCCATACAGAAGAAGGTGGAGAGTGCCTGGAACATGCTGCCACAGGAGATGGTGGACGCAGACACAATAGCACCTGGATGAATATATGAATAGGAAGTGAATGGAAGGATACAGATCCTGCAAGTGAAGACAGTTTTAGTATGAAAGGGTAAAATGTCACAACTCAGGCTTGGAGGGCCAAAGGGCCTGTTCCTGTGCTGTATTGTTCTTTGTATCCACATCAAATCTGCAATGCCTTCAGTTATTAAATCTCTGTTTTTCCAAAGGACATGTTCATTTTGTCCAAGATTAAATATTTCCCCATTGGTGATGTTAAGTCGATGGACCTGCAGTTACTGGGTTTAATGTCAGATGTTGGATTGGGATCTGTGGGATGAGAGGGTAAGGGGGAGTGGGGTGGGTTGGGGGTAGGTACCAGCCTCTCCCAGGGTGTAGGGCACACCCCTATCTGTACAAATGGTGCGGAGGTGGAGATGGTCAACAGCACTAAGTTCCTAGAGGTGACGATCACCAACAATCTGTCCTGGACCACCTACTTTGATGTGGGTATGAAGAAGGTGCAGCACCTCTACTCCCTCAGGAGGCTAAAGAAATTCGGCATGTCCATAAAGGCTTTTACCAACTTCTACAGACACTCCACAGAAAATATTCTATCCTGATGCATCGTGGCTTGCTAAGGCAACTGCTCTGCCCTGGACTGTAAGAAACTACAGAGAGTTGTGAACACAGCCCAGACTGTCGCGCAAGCCAACCTTCCTTCCCAATGACTTCATTAGGAAGGCAGCCTTCAATAAAAGCCCCTTCCACCCCGGTTATAATCTCTTTCAATCTCTTCTGTCAAGCAAATGATACAAAAGCTTAAAACACATGCACCAACAGGTACAAGAACAGCTTCTTCCCCACTGTTATTCAACTTCAGAACAGACCTCTCAAATTTCAAACCTAATGCTGGACTTGCTTTTTGTGCACCTTCTCTGTATTCCTTGCTCCATTCAAGGTTATGGCTGCTATCATCCCAAGATCTTTTTGTGGTATGATCCACCTGTACTGCATGCAAAACAAAAAACTTTTTACTGTACTGAGAGACTTGTGACAATGATAAATCAAAAGAAAAGTGACACTCTGTGAACATCCTTTGGGACTGGCTCCTTCCAGGCTCGGGCAGTGACCTGCGAGAGATCCCTCCAGTCCACTTGGAGTGTGCTGCATCATCCCGATAAGCCATGCTTGGCACAGTCAGAGCAGGAAATGAAGCAATGGGATGGAGGCTGAGGCTGATGGATGGTGGGGAGTGGGGGGGGTTGGTGGATGACTCTTTTTTAAGTTGTTTGCCCGTATGAGATATTCCCCAACTGGACAATCTGGGTCTCCAGCGGGCATTGGGCACAGAGGTGGTAGTAACGTAGACAGGGTGTTTGGACAGGAATGTAGCGCAGTGACCGGGATGGAGGAAGAGAACAGGGTGATATATGTGAGGGAGTACCAGGTCATGCTGGCTCTCTGTGCCATGAGCAGTGTGGCTGTTGTGCCAATACACTGCCAGTGAAGGGTTCACACTGGATTGGCAACACCAGCGTCCGAGTGCACAGCGGCCTTTCAAAGATGGTGCAGGCCCCAGGGATACTACTCTTCTGGCAGATATCAGCGAGTGGTGAGTTGTTCTGGGAACAGTGTGTGGTAAAATCGGTCTGGATTTGGGCAAGAGGGACACCGTTGTGTGGGACAGGGAGTAAGTAAGTGTGGTGGGTTGGCAAGATACTGCGAGAAATCTGCCTAGGCCTTTTAGAGAGAAACCCTCTTGTAAAACTCAACCAAACTCACTCAACCAAGGATAGTAGGAACTGCAGATGCTGGAGAATCCGAGACAACAAGGTGCAGGGCTGGATGAACACAGCAGGCCAAGCAGCATCATAGGAGCAGAGAGGCTGACGTTTCGGGCCTAGACCCTTCATCAGAAAAGGGGGAGGGGAAGGGGGTTTTGAA